ATCAAGTGTCCAGTTTGTATGGAATGGAATGTATTTTCCGTTACTGTTTTACACAAAAGACTACCTAAACTACAAAATAACACGCTCGATATTATTTCCATCAAATTAAACTCCTGTACGACATTCCAAATGGTAACGGCACACTTCAGCTATTAGGACTATGGCTTTATCTAGTTCGGAGGTAATAGTCAAGATTCCTTTCAGATATTTCAGTTTACTAGGAGATTTTGGCTTCGACTCTAAGGAAAAATATAGTGTCAAGTAAATCAAGGCCTGTTGTAGCTAGGAATAAATATTTCAATAAAACACCCGGTGACAGCTTACAATTTATACTTTCGGCAATCCGCGGTTGCCGTGCCTTTGTACCCGGTTGGCTGAGATACAGCGAAAACGGCACACCTGGAATAAGCCTTTAAATACATCGCACGGCACAGTTATAAAATTATCTTTTTAAACTGATTCAATGTGCCCATCATTCTAAATCCGTATGATCTACTTGTGGAAATGAAAACACCGAAAACATTAGCATGAATAAGGTTACATACGATTATTTCTAATAATACCTAATAGATAAAATCTGTCAAAATGCAAAGCCATTAAACAGAAAAGACGTTAACGAATCTATTAATTATTTATTTCAGAGGATTTGTAATGTGAACCACATCACGGATGTGAAAATTTAATATGGAGCCATATCAATAAAAGACCTTTCTTGTTAACAATTATAACGATTACACATTAAATAAAAGTTTTCAGATGACAAAAAATCGTGTTTATTTTCTGATATTTAATATGTATTCTTACAATGAAACCCTACATTATTCCAATACTGGGCGGGTCGATGCGTATGGATTAAAAAAGAATTTACTTTCTACAGATTTTACACGACAGAAAGATTAGGTCAATTTCAAAATTTGTAGTTTTTATTATCATTCTGGCCCGCGTGGCCGCGCTGTTTTGGTCAATAAATACTCGTTTCAGTTCGTCCCCTTCAGTGGAGGGTTTGCAAAATTTTCTTAGTCACGTTGTAAAGCTTTTACCTTTTAATTGCAGGTTTTTTTTTAAACTGTAAGTAATTAATTGACAAATAAAGGATATTACAAAAACAGAAACTATAGTACGAACCAACCATAGAAGGTGGAAAGATAAGTCTGACGGATCAAAACAGCTATATAATATAGACTACTAATAACAACTAAGAAAGAGTTTAAAAATGCAGGCAAAGGAAAATCCGGCCCGGAGGACCAACATTTTCATTAGGGTTTTTGTTATTCAATATAGGAAAAAAATTGAATTGTATTCTTTCTTTATTGTTTAATTCTTTATTATATGTCTTTGTCAATAGGAAAGACAAGTGGTCGATATGCCTTTTTAATATTTTATTTATAGTCTCTGTTTTGCTGTGAACTTATTAATCTTTTCAGAATTTTGTGATGTAAGTTAGTGAAAACATCCGATATCCTGTAAGGCCGAATAACAGACCAACCAGTGGTATAATATCACATAGCCAACCAAAAGGCATACAAAAATATCCGGCCCGGAGGACCAAATATTTATTAGGGCCTTTCATAAACAGTGGAGGAAGTCTCTTGCCTGACCCAATACTGAAAGCGAGGAAAACCTAAACAGTCGAGAGTATGTGAACGTTTACTATATTATTTATATATACATTTATATTATTATTATATACATTAAAACCGATAGTAGTATTAGCCATTAAGACATAATATTTGTTATTTAATATCGTTTTTTCACTGTAAGCGAACTATTTGGAAACTTATTTTGTAGATAACAAAACAATCAGAATATCATAATAATTTGGGCTGTGGTTTAAACTAAATTTAAGTCAAATTTAAAACAACTAAACTATAAAATTAATGAGGTTATTGTTTAATTTTTGTTTTGTTTCTGTCAATAATGACGAACAATAGTGTATGTGCTTTTGTCATATTTTATTTAACGTCCTTTGTTTTTGCATTGTTCTGTGAACAACTTATTGGAAATTGTGTGCTGTACCAAAAACATCAGGTAGCTTGTGCAGCCGTTTGAACTAAAATCGCGTTATGTTGATCGTAGGGAAAAGTTGATTACATCGATGCACGTTATAAAAAAACGCACACAGAAAAAAAACCTCTGGTAACGTTCGTCAGCAGCTTTTCCGGCTATATCGACCCGCAAAGCATGAATAATTGACACCGATAAGGAATTTACATACAACGGTGTCGCCCTGTGGGAAAGCGCGGATAAAGCACGAGAGGGGCAGGAAGCGCAATTACAAATTCGTAATTCAAAAGTTTCACGTCCCCTCGCTCAAATATTAATAAAAGGTGCAGCTGTCAGTGCCCGACCACTTCCGGTCAGTGTGGGCGTGTTCCTCTCTTTGCCCCCATCCGCAGGAAGGGCTCTAGAATTAGTCCCCATCGCATGGATTGGCTCCGTCCGGCTAAGAACGAATTTTATAAATCTTAATCGACTTTATTTTACAAAAAATTCCCCAGGTAAGCTTGTAGATTTAAAATAAAACTAGGGAATTAGTTACCGTGTTCTGTACCGACGGTATATGAGTAGGTGTTACCTATTGTAATCTAAGTATTAAAAACCCAAATACTGTCGTAAACTGTATCCCATCCTTCTCGAAATATTTGCTACTTTTAATTTCGAAGTTGATTAGGCTCGTGATATCGTCATACCACCTCATGGTTAAATATTATGCTCCGGAACGAGGTTACGTCTCGGAGAATAAGCGTCAGAACCATTCCAGACTGTTCATAGGATACTGTTTCAAGGAGGAATTATACATATGCTGTCGGAATCGAATATAGTCAGACAGGTCATAACTGTTCAAAGGAATTGGTCCCCAGTGAAGATGGAAACCATTGATGATTGTTAATTCATTTGATTGTCCACATTTAAAATTATAATTGATAAAAAGAGGATTTCCTGCCAGGTATAATCAATCTTTTGATATCCTTGGTAAACACGAGAAATATTATGGAATCGGTCAGAGTCAAACTGAGCAGGTGGTTCATGATATGATTTCAACGGTGTTCTGGCTTGTATACATCTAAAAACGCGCTCACAGCAAAAGTAACTACTTTTATAATATTTCATTTAATTTTGACCATTCCATCAATACTCGCACCCACTTTAGTGTACCCTTAAGGACATAGGAGCAGAACAAATCTGCCGATTATTCAATCCTTTTGCGTATTAGGGAGTATCAATTGTCCGTGGATAGGATTTAATTTAGAAGCGTTAGGGACAAGAGAGAGAAAATGGAATTGCATTAAAATAGGATGGTATGACTGAAGTGGCAGATTACACCTGCGGCGCAGTGGATATAGGGTTAAGCCCCTCCAGGTATAATTCAGTCTAGGACCAAGTTTTTTTTGCTCGTCTCGTTTCTTGAAGAGCTGTCTTCGTCAGCGACCTCCACTCGATTTCCATGTGCTCATTAAATACAAACGATAATTTGGCTGGGTAGAATAACGGTATTGATGTAATTCCAGCATACCTTCGCATAATAATGTTGTAAGTTTAGACTAGACCCACATAAGACGAAATTTGATCAGAGGCAAGTAGCCTAAATATGATAAAACCCTTATACGGTTGATGATAATATAGTTATGAGTGATAAATTAATGAATCAATTTTGCAATCAAAAAAATTAAAAACTTAGTATATAGGTACTATTCCATTTCTACTGGTTTGACAAAATCGGAAATGCAATAAAATATTTTTTTTTTAATAAACAGGCGATTGAATTTTTTCCATTCTCTTTATAAAATTAATATACATTAAATAACTTTGTAAATGATTAACACACTTTTCGAAATTGTGTTTACCGTAAGGCATTCGTAATAAAGAGCCAAATAATTTTTTAGGCAATACAAGCTTTCGTGAGCTACAAAAACAACAGTATTGCAGAAAGGTTTCGAATAACGTAAGCACTCCGTTTAATTAGTTTAACTGTACTCGAAAACCGGGGAAAAGTGGGAAATGGATGCTGAAAAAACGAGTTATAATTTTTCCAGCTGTTCAAACACGAGGTGAAAGCCTTGAAATATCACACACAAAATTATGCAAATCGTTTTTTGTTTTGGGTTGGAAAACTTTCCCCGGACCCTTATACGGTATAACTGTGCACTTCTTTATTTCGTGACTGCGTCGGTTTTAAGCCAGACGCCGCCGCTCCTTATAAGGACCCGCCTTTCGCTATGCAGGGGACAGTTAGATAAAAATCTGTTTTGAAAAATGCCTTTTTTTATATCCCGTGCCTAACGAGGGAAGATCTGTTCAATTAACGTTTTTGCACAATTTGTTCGTGCAATTTGGCTCTCGGGGATTAGCGAGTGGTGTCATCGGTTAGGTCGTCGTTCACCTAGAAAACGACCCGATTTCACAATTCAACTGGCGTTGCCTCGAATCGCTTTTGAGATATTGCAGTGATTCACCATTTGGATGCAGTCCAAGGCACATCCAATCTAAAAACAATTAGGTTCTGCGCGTCTGTTTTAATCGCCGGTCACGTCGACTTTTCACTTCCCGAAGAAAGTGTTTGTTGAGGGCGGCAACAGAGGTAAGGCCGACGAGGTGAAAATAACTAAGAATCTGGATTAAAGTGAGTTACGAGCGAGTTAATCCGCGTTGGCCTACGTCGAATTGCCGACTGCAGCTCTTGACTGATTTATGGGACTTCTCGCCGAAAAGAAGATTTGTGCGTCGCGCCCCGAAGGCTGCTACGGATTTACAAAGCCGTTTTAATTGTGGAACGGAGGACCCGAAACTGGAACGAAAAAACACGTCAGACGTCAACGAAACGGCAGTCATTGCACGTAAAGGACATCCTACATTAGTATTCTTAGGAAGGAGACGTTCTCTGACTATTGTCGCATCTTACCGTTTAAGATAGCAAAAAGAGACAAATTTTTAATTAACGTTTATGAATACATTAAAGCCAAGACAAATAATATGACTAAAGTAGGTAGAAGTGAGCTTACCTTGATACTGTCGTAGCAAGCGGTGACTCTGCCGTTCTGCACTTCGACGTTTGCTGGAGGATGGGCGAATTTACACTCGGTGTCCGGCCTGGAGCATTTGTTCCTCTGAAATTCGCGGCAAACTTCGAGCTGTAGCCACCGCGAGTCTTTCCCATTCAGGAGGTTGTTCATGTTAACCATCGCCATCCTACTCTTTGGGGGGTTTGCGGGTGATGCGAGACAAGAGAGAACAGCGAGACGAAGTTCGAGTGAGAGATAGAAGAGAGAGAGAAGAAGAAGTGTGAGAGGTGGGAGGGGTTGGGGGTGTGGTGCCTCGCTGTCAGGTTTAGGTCATGAGTGGCACACAGGCGGTTTTGGGACGACCTCCGGGTCACTACTTGGATAAGGGATGACCAGGGGCAACTATCGCATGTTAGTTAGCTCTGACTCTACAGCTCCGCTTTCTACGTGCGCTGCGCCAAGGGGGATAATCCACGTCTGAAACAAACAAAAATCGTTATTAGTTTTCATGTCACAAATCATCCGTGCATCAGCCTAATAGCTAATAGCCAAAAAACCCAAAGAAACAAGCGTCGGTTATCCTTTCTGTCTCCCTGTGTGGTAACCTTCACGGTTGAGGCAGTTAACCGTCCAGCCGCCGATCCGGTCGGTCTCAAGGCCGGCATTCTTTAGACCGTGTCTTACTCGCCTTTTCATTTCAACAACCTTTCCTTCATAGCCTGACTGCATCCAAATGAACAATCCGATTTCGCCGGTCGGAAAACGGGAACGAGATTGAAACCGTTTATTGCCTTTATTCATTCGCAGGGAGGGAGGGTTCTTTCAATTCGAAAACCGTTCTCTCCCCGAGCACCCTGTCCGGGTGAACGACGATTTAGTGATGAGACTATTTAAAAGGAATTAAGGAATAATGACCCCAGCCATTGGCCCCAATCAAGGAAACCGAGCTGGATGCGGGCGCATCTGTGGGCTCCCTCCTCAATTTAACAACCGGATTGAAGAATTCGGGTAACCGCGGTGTCAGTATCGATCGATTGACCCGGATATCCCGGAGGAGCTCACTCGATAATCGATCCCCCGCTGAAAGAAGGCTCACGCCCGGGTGTGTTCGAGCGGTGACATAACCGACATGAGGCAACTTGGGCTAATAGAACCGGCATTGAACTCAATGATGACGAGCTGCATATCTGTAGTCATTCCTTCGAGACCAAATTTACAACTCAGTGTAAACGCAATTTCGTCCAAAGAAGCACCTTAGAGTCACGTACTAATTCGAGTTAAATTTTCAACTTGAAGATAAAAAAAATCTCTTTTACGCTTATGATATCGATTTATGAACACAACAGAGTCATTACCATCGTCTTTGTAATAAAAGAATATAGCCCATTAAAAGTGCCAAGTCATTAGTCAACCATTATTGAACAAATCTAACGACCCTTTAATATTAATATAATACCAGTAAATAATACATCTAGAGTTCTTTGCTTCTATTATTTCGGCAGGATATCCCAGAAAAAAAATAATGTAGCATCATGATTTATTCGCAATTAATCATGCACGTGGAAATACAAGCCTTCATTTTGCCAAATGCATAATCACTCAGCGTTAATAGCCAATTTGTTCAAGCCGGTGAGGCGAGAAACGCATTTAGAAAAGACAGAAAGATGAAAAATGCCCTTCGTTATCCTAAAGTGTATACCATTACCAGAAGAGGGGGATAAAAGTATATTATATTTTACGTCAAGAAAAATGTAAAACGTCCCTTAAGCACTGGGGTGAATGGGATCGGTGGGATGTTATTACAGAGTGCTTTGCTTTGGTAGGAACCACGGTTAAGTGGCAATACGTCAGACATTGACTTTCTTTAACCTAGGTGAGAACGCTCGAGCCCTCTCATATTAATTTGGCTGAAGCGGGGTCGATTTTTCAGCCGTCTCAAGGTGTCGAGGGGCGGCATCAATCATCCAGACCCCTCGTCGTCGCACCTCCCTCCGGGAAGACTTTGCGATTCTCTTTACAAATTCAAGGCTAAGGAGAAGCACTAGAAATATCTTTTATGGTGTTGAAACTATAGTCGACTAAACACTAATGGGTCTTGAAAGACAAGAAAATTATTTTTCATCGCTTCAAATCCGCTTAATAGACAAACGTGTTAAAACGACATCTAAACGGATTATGCAGACGTAGTCTTGTTCATAACATCGTAAAAGATAACATTCGACCTTCAACCTATAGAAGAAAAAATTAAAAGCTTTGGAATGTTTTATCTCTAGAGTAAGGTAAAGAGAAAAATGCAAAGAAATTTCAAATGTTCCTGGTGTTTTATATTAGTTTGATCGTTCTACCAAATAAGTACAAGTGTTACGTCAATCCATCATACTCAGCAAACAATCGATTAGTTGAAATATATTTCAGACCTTTTACACATGTAAAATAAGTAGAAAATCACATTTTGTTGATCTTGGGTTAGAAAGTTGATGTTTTTTAGTCTATGACTATCTGTATACAAAACCGAAAACACGATATTACAATTCAAATGTATTTATGCACTCAAAACGAATTTTGAATTCCTGAAGTCCAATTTTTAATGTGTTCACATGGCCCGTTAAAATTCCATTAAATTAAGCCACTTAAGTGCTTTCACCACTCCAAATATTTTCAAAATATGTTCTAAAATTGTTCGAATACCTCTGCTGCTAAAGCACGGGCTTCGTTCTCATCTAAAATTTATGAGATTATCGCGGTACCTGAGCGGAGAGATCCCGGGATTTAATATAACACAATGACGATTGGTGAAAAAACTCCAATTGTTTTTATTATTATGATCAATGCATTTTTTTAAATAAAAAATTCCTGGATTGAACCGTTTGCGGTATGAATTAAATCATGTCCAACTTCTGCCTAAACCCTAATCTGAATACGGATAACTTGTAAGCATTTTCACACAAAAAACGAGACAAAATAGACAAAAACAAATAGTCTGGTCGTGATAATTTTAAGTAAAGTTGCTGCTTCTCGACATCTTCAGTGTTGGGTTTCTTTATTATGTCTAGGAAAGGTCTTTTTTGCATCTTTTTTAAATAACGGAAACAAATTTTTGTTGGCTATTGTGCGGAGGGCAACTCAAAACAAACATTATTAAATACTAGTAAGTTAATAAAACTGACAATTATCATTATACTACTGGAAAACTTAATTCTAAGGAAGCTTAAAATTCTTTAATACTTTATCAAGCTTTTTACTATTTACAAACGTTGAAAAAATATAAGGACATTTGACAATAATTATTTGGAAATAGTGAAATGCGGTCTGGTGTGAATAATAATCAGTAATAATCCAACCAAATTAACTAACGGTCACTAAACACCACGCATTTGACAATAACTTCACCCCAAAAAAAAATGTTTACATACTGAAAATTTGGGAACTTAATGGTACGTGAATAGGTAGAGGTTGATACAACCAGACAGAATAAAGTATTTTGTTAGGATGTACATATAGATTTGGGTGTTAACCTGCGGGTCTTGTTGTATGTGATTTTTCTATTTTGTCCATTATTTGTAAACGATATACCGAAGATATCGGAAATCAGAAATGCGATAGACCTAAACTTGATGATACGCATACCACAATGATCGGAAGCGACTAAGCTTTCATCACTTGGTAGACATCTGAATGAAAATTCATAATTTAAAAAAAACGATCACATTATAAAAATAAACGGAAGCGGAAACGCGTCTGACAGACAAAATGATCGGAAATGAGCAAGTTACAGGTTCATCAACCAGCAGATATCTAAAAGAAATTTATATAAAAACGACATATTAAAAGAGACCCACCTCTGAGGGTGGTTGAATGCCGAAAGGGGTATGAATGTACAAAAACAGCGAAGGTAAGAAGGACTAGGATTGTTTCGCATTTCATTTGTCCAGCGGTGGTCGGAGGTTCGAGCGCCGAGATCGTTCCTGATTAAGAGTGAAATTGGGCGATTTTCCTCCTCTTATCTGCCAGCTAATGTTCTGAACGATTGAGCGGATGGCATTCCTCGAGGGAGCGGCTTTTATTACGTTGAGATGACGTGATGGAAGGAAACGGAGAGGGAATCGGGAACGATTTAAAAAGGGGCGCCGCCGTTTATCGCCCATCTTGCGGCCGCTATTAACCGCTCGATTAGGTCAAATTTGAAGATGGTCCTGTTTAAAGTTAAATAAAAATGACGGGCCTTCCTTGGGCAGTTCTCAAACAGCCAAAGTCTTTTACAATTCAAAATAACTACGTGTGATAACCTAAGCGTATAAAAATCACCCGGGATAAAGTAAGGCCTCTGTTATGAACAAAGAACGGTAGAAGCAATATTTGATAATTAACAAAAGGGCGAGTTTACGAAACAGGGGGATTGGAATTATCGGAAGTCGTGAAGTTGGTAGATAAGCGAGCTCCCCGTTGGGTCACCATTGTCCCAACTCGACATAAAACCACCTCTGGAAATAGTGTGCCCCTCTCGAGAGAGATACAGCCGAAGTCCAGTTCTATAACTGGAAGGGAAACAGTTCACCGTGACATTAATGGGGATTAACACCCTTTTCCCTCTCACGTCAATGGACGAGGGAGGAGGAAATTCAGTCTTCCTCTGGCTTCTGCCTATCTCGCCCTAATTCACTATGGAAACAAGTATATACCGTAATAAATAATTATAAATAAAATAATAACTATAAATCAATGATATTTAATAGATAAGAGAAGACGTAAACTCCTCTGATCACTAATAACTTTAGTTCCATTATATTTCGTGGTCCGATTGATTAAATAATTTCTTTCAATTAATTAACTTTTATGTAAGATATCGGTTGAAATGAAAATGCTAGTGTCACGAGCGGGATTCGAACCCACGACCTTCGGCTACATACGCCGCTGCTCTACCACTTGAGCCATCGTGACTTCGACCCACTCGGACACCAACTTCCCATCCCAACCTACCGAGTGAATCGAAGTCACGATAGTTCAACTGGTAGATCAACGGTGTATTTAGCGGAGGGTGGGTTCGAATACCGCTCGTGACACTAACTTTGTCATTTCAACCAATACCTTACATAAAGGTTAATTAATTGAATAGCTTTAGTATTTGAATAAACACAATTTTCCAAGAAAATATTTTTAATCTGTCATCTTGTTTGATAATCAATTTCAATTTCCGATCATGCCGATAGCGGAAGAGTGTCATGTACTTGACTGACGTACTTTGCCGATGCGAGCCGACACTGCCACCGGATAAGCCGAAGCTGCAACATCCTGTTGCATGACCGCTTCACGCCTCTTGTGCGAACAGCATTTTAGATTAGGAAAAGGCCACGTAAGCTTTAGGACAAAGTCCAACTGAACAGAATACGATTTACTTTCAGCTTTTCGGAGCTTTCGAAAATAAGGCAATGCCCGCTGGGCCATTATTGCGAAACTTACAGGATCCTAGAGATTTCGCC